ATACTTACTATTTAAAAGAAAAAAAAAAACACTAAAAGAAGTTAAAAAAAAAAAAAAAAAGAAGTGGGACCAGCAGTGGCGTAATGCTTATGTCATTGGACTCCCACATAGTAGATCATGTTTTTAAGTCCTGGACCTGGTGACTTAAAAAACTCACACCAGGCACATGTGCATTCGAGGAGAATGAAGGAGAAGGGATTGTGGCGCGGTCATCCCCCCACCCAGGTGTGTGGGGAATTTCTCACTTTCTGTCTCTCTGTTTCTCTCTGTTTCTCTGGCGCTCTGTAGCAAAGCTCTCCTCCACCATAAAAGGAGATGTACTTCAGAGAGAGTAACAAACTGTAAGTACTATAACTACAAAACTAATTTTGGTTCTAGTTTAATGGTAACAATATGTGTTGGCTTGCAAAGTTAGTTGGGATTTTCACTGTTTTTCACTCAACAGTGTCAGAAATTATCAGCCAGCTCTAAATTGTTTTCCTGTTTAAATATGCAAGCGTAGATAATAAAAGGGATTTATTTATTACTAAAAACATAGAAGTACTTGTAAATGATTTTTTCTTCAGGTAAGCTATAATACTTGCCTATAGAAAATCTGTTACTTAGAATGTTATAAAAAGTGCCTTTTGAAGAGTAATTGACAGTGTCCTTTTATATATGTACTTATAAAATTGTGTTTAGGAAGAGATACAGGAGGCATTCCAACTATTTGACAAGAAGGCAGTGGTTAAACCAGTATTATAGAAATACATTATGTTATGACAAATTTTAAGAGAAAAACTAACAAATGAAAAAGTAGATGACATGATCAGAGAAGTAGATATCGACGGAAATTAGTAATTCAACTATGAATAATTCTGTACAGATGATGACTGCAAAATGAAAACCTACTTTGAACTCCTTTACCCCACCCAGAATAATCATATTGTAACTTACTTACCTCTTGCAAAATAAAAGAGATTTTATATTATGTTCATGTTAAGTATACATATAATATATAATCTGTTATAAGGTATTTACACTATAATTTTAAAACTTTTATTTCTTTTATTATACATTTTTGAAGTTTATGCTATAGGGTACATGTGCTCACAGGAGCGAGACAGAGAGAAAAAGTGAGAAATCACTCTGTGGTGATGGGGCTGGGAAGAGGGTGGCCATGTATAATCCCTTCTCCTCAGTTCTACTTCTGGATTTTGGGGATTTTCTGTCTTTTTTCTTTGAGAGAGATTTTTGCTATAGCATGTGTGCACTTGCAGGAGAAACAAAGGAAACAGAAAGTGAGAAATCACCCTGCAGGGAAGATGACCATGCCAGAGTCTCTGCTCCTATAGTCTCTTCTTGGAATTTTGAGTACATTTGCACATGTTGTGAGGTTTCTTTGTTTTTAAGAGAGACTTTTGCCATTAGCCTCATGCGCTTGCCAGAGAAACAGAGAGCAAGCCAGAAATCACCTTCCTGGGGGAGGTGAATGGTTATGCCACAATCCTTTCTTCTCCACAGGATCTTGGGCACACATGCACACATACCTGATATGAGTTTAAGCTGCCTGGTCTGGGATTCAACCACAGTCAACTAAGTGGATGTCTAGTGTTATAACCATTACGCCATATGTGGGTTCCCACAGTATGCATTTTTTTGGTTTTGTTTTTTAAGAGAGATTTATTCTATAGGGCACATGTGCTCACTGGAGACAGAGAGAGAGAAAGCAAGAAATCACCCCCTGTGGGAATGGCCGTGAAACAATTGCTTTTCCTTTATTCTCCTTTTGGGATTTTGGGCATGCATGTACATGTGCCTGGCATGAGTGTTAAGCCACTGGGTCCGGGACTCAGACCTCATTTGACTTCATGAGAGTCCAGCAACATGACTATTATACCATCTACTGGTCTTACAGGGCATCAGTTTTAAGCCAGTGGGTTTGGCACTTGACGGGGCCATGCAGGCAACACAAGCTGGTAAGGATGCTGCCTCCCATTCTAAGGCAGGGCCTGGACGGGGAAGAAACTGAGGCAGGGTCCAGTTTATGAGCCCTCCCTTGTGTCCTTGAACTGGCCGGTATTTAATTTCTCTGCCGTGAGTTTTACTGTTAATTATGGTACCTTGTAAGGGTAAAACATCACCCCCAGCCATTGCAATAAAGCCAATTAGTGATCTTGTGGGAATGTGGTTCCCTAAGATTGACAAGAGGACTAGGAAGTTTAAGACTTCCCCACCTGTCTGTTTTTAAGCCAAAATTAATATACAGATTAAAGTTAGTATAAACCAAAGTAGCATCAGTAGCATATGAAAACTAAGTTAGTTTAAGGCTAGTTTTACGTACATACCCCTTGTTAAAGCTACAGGCCAAAGTTAGCTCATGCTAGGCAAAGTCAGCACATTCACCCAGAGATAAAATAAAAGAACTCACTAATTGACAGACTCAACAAATAAAATAACAACCCATGGTTTCAAGGAAAAGCCTGACTGATGAACAAACCTGAGTGCTCCAGAGAAAAATTAACCACCTTAGCTGGGAGTTCTTATCTAAAGTTAACAGGTAGCTTTCAACTACAAAGAGTTCTTATCTAAAGCAACAGGTAGCTTTCAACTACAAAGAGTTTCTCATCTATGTGCTGTTGACTATGAAAAACTGCTAATAAAACATCCTGTGTTGTCTCCTGAGCTACAAGATCATCTTCCTTTCCCATATAAGATCATAGACTCACCCTCTATTGTTGTAATGTATGGATAGTCCATATATTAACTGTGTCTTTACTTAACAAAACAAGATATCTATCTAGGTCTTTGCAACCAGCAATGCTATCGCCCTGGCCCGGGACTGAAGTTATCAAACATCCTGCAAGCCCCCTCTTCAAAAGACCTTTCCCAATAATCAAGATCTAAGAAGAATATACAACAGACAAATGGACTTCCTCACCCTGAGCAGTATGATTAATTTTACCTAATCTGACAAGACAAACAGCATGTTTTATAATTATTGCTTCCATGCTTTGTATACCCTGTTCCTTAGAGTAAATTTTTTACTTCCCCTCACCCTCCTTACTTCCTAAACCTCCCTCAATAAATACGCATTTTTTAATAGCCATGGCGTGGCAGTCAGGAGCTGGCTCTGGCTGTGGCCGGCTGAGAACATACTAAGGAGCAATGAGGTTTCATTCTAATTTTTTGTTTCTATTCACCCGTGTTGCCTTCCTGTGTACGAGCCACCCACCACTGCCGAGGCCAGACACCGGCAGGCACTTTAACTGTGGTCAGTCTTGTGGGAGTCCTTAATGTCAATGCCAGCTGCTGGCCCCTGAACTACAAGTGTTAATTATGGCTGAGAAAGTTTTCTTTTCTAAGGTTTACTGCATCTTTTTTTTAAAAGAGAGTTTTTTTGCTATGGGGTGTATGTCCTCATGGGAGACTCAGGGACAGAGAGTCAGAAGCTGAGAAATCACCCCTTTGGGGATGGTCACATTTACAGTTCCTTCTCCTTCATTCTCCTCTTGGGATTGAGGACCTGCAGATGCACCTTCCGGTGATTTTTAAGTTGCAGGGTCCAGGACTTGAAATCGGGGTGAGTCAATGGATGTAATCATTACTCATCTGCTGGTTCAGGTAACTGTATCTTTAAATTGTGATGATCCAGGCAGTACTAGTTAAGGGCTCTCCCATCATCAGTTGCACTTCTAGCACCCATGGCCATGTGCATGAATGAACGTCCAAAATTCTCCTCCCTTAGAGGAGAAGAGATCATAGTTACCATGGGAGAAATGGTGATGTGGTTGTGGTGTAATGATTTTCAGTGTCTCTGACAAGGACACACAACTATACCAAAAGCGTCTCTCAGAAATAAAGTGGGAACCAGCAGTTAGCAATGGCTGTCGCTGGAGTCCTATGTAGTCGACCGCGGTTCATGTCCCAGACCTGGTGTCTTAAAACTCACGCCAGGTAGGTGTGCATCCGTGCCCAAGATCCCGAGAGGAGAATAGAGAAGGGATTGCGGCATGACCATCCCCTCGGGGGGGTGATTTCTGGCTTTATGTCTCTCTGTCTCTGTCTTGCAAGCACACGTGCCCTATAGCAAAAAAATCTCTCCAAAAAAATAAACAAAATAAAGTGTGATGATCTTATGTTTATCTTAATGCCTGTCCATAAGCAGTCTGTATTTTTTTTATTGAGGTCTTCCTGGGAGCACAAAGTAGAGACTAACATTTTGGAGTTCTGACTGAATAATCTTTGCCACTGTTCTGTAGATACTATCATAAAGTGATATAAGCACAGCAGATTTATGTTTACCAGTTGCACCAAAATTTGGCACTAACGTGTTATCAGAACTTCGGAGATAAAGAGTTGTGGTTAGCAAAACAAATCCCGTGGGCCTGTTTAATCCGTAGGCGTTGGAGTATACCAATAGAGGTCTGTGCTTTAGATGCTCAGAGAGAGGTGACAGTGAGGACAGGGCCGGTGTACACCTGTGAAAGGGCTGTAAGACTGGCAGATACCCTGGAATTCCTGTGGTGCCAGACTCAGTCTTCTCAAAGTCAATACGTTTCACCACTTTCCCGCAACCTATTCTGGGCCCACCACCCCCCCCCGCCGTTATCCTGGGTAGTTTAATTTTGGGCTCTCGTTTGTGTTTTAAACAAGGTAAAAATCAAGATGTGTTCATCGCTCCGCTGGGTCTCCCTGACGGTATGCCCAATTTTAGATTCGTACTGTTAATTCGCGAGGCCACCGCAGTTCCGGACCACCACAATATGCACTCTCAGCTGAAGCGTTTTTTAACTAAAGTAAATATTCCACCATCTGGATGACTATTTTTTCCCGACAAACATGTTCCTAACCAATTACCAACCACTGGCTTCTGTCTTGCTTTCAGGACGTTGACAGTCTCGTTGGGCGCGGCTTCGGCAACTAGCAAGTTTAGTGGAGCTTTCGCTGACGAGAGTCAACAAAGGTCACGTGAGGCGTATCGGTTGCTACCATTGGAGTAGGCTGGCCAGCCGGGGTCGGGAAGACACCACGGCTGCGTGGGGTTTATCCTGTGACACAATTACAACAACTTTGTGCTCGTCCTGGCGAAGTTTGTGATTCCGGGAAACTCTTTGCTTTTACTACAGCGCAAGCTTTCGCCTTCTCTGCAGTCTTCGCCTGCCTTGCTTTGTGACCTGGTAGCTGAGCTTCACAGCCTGTGCATCTTTTGATTTTGCTTTTGCTTTGGGGTTTTTCGTTGCTGCCCGGGGGGCGGGGGTGTCGGGGGCCGCAATAAAGTTGGTATATTTCAGTTTCAAGGTGGGATTAAGGACGACATTTCAAGCTCTGGACCAAGCGTGGGTGGGTGTTTACGTACGAGCTGTAAGCTGTAAATTCGTGGCGTTTCTAGGAAATCCAGCGGAGTGTCGCTCGCTAGCGCTGCTGCAGCCTTCGGTGATGAGGAAAAGAAAATGGCGGCGAGAACAGCAAGCAGCAATAACGAAGAGGGGTCTCTGAGTCTGACAGCAGAGGAGAGGGAGGCACTCGGTGGATTGGACAGGTACGGACTGCCGTCACCCGGCCGATTGACTCCTAATCGGCTGGCGTCACTCTGGGAAGGCCGCAGCGCAGTTGTTCTCTGTGGGGCCAGGACCTCAGGCCTCAGGCAGGGATGGTTTAGTGGCTTCCCTGGATCGTTAACAAGCTGCGTGTGTCTCTCCACAGCAGCCTCTTCGGATTCATGAGCCTTCACGAAAATGGCGCCAGGACGAAAACCCTCTTGGGCAAGGTAAGGCAACAACTTGGGGACCTCTGCGTGGAAACGGCCTTTCTGGCTTGTGCTCTGCTTGCTTGCTCCAAATGGGCCCCCTATTCCTGCGCAACCCTATTCGCGCTCTTTGTAGTCCCTAAGCTATGGTCCCAGGGTATTTGGAAAAGAGTTTCTTGCTTTTGCTCTTCCTTTAACGCTGGATGCCTCCCTCGCTGCCTTGCCTACTACTCTCTTGTAACTTGAGGAAAATAGATGGCAGCATTTTGAGGCCGGGTCTTAACTGGATAGACGTTATTTGACGGTTTTCGGGTTAGGCTAGGAATTTCTGAATTTTAGTGTAACAAGTTGTGAATCAGCATAGTTCTCAAATTTATAACCAAACTCCTTGTATTTTTCCCTGATTTTACTGACATGTTTTAAGCTTTCATATGTTCGTAGTTTCAAAACGAGGAACGTCCTGGTTGATGGTGGTAAAGTTTTATTCAGTATTGACCCACACACTATATTCCTATTGTATATTTGACCTAAAGCTAAGTGCTTTGTTTACTTTTTAAAGGTCTAGCAGTAGCCCGAAAAAGCTGCCATTGTGATTTTATGAATGCCTTTTCTCCGAGGACCCTGTTTCCTGTGTCAGATGCATACCACAGAAAGGTCTTATTTGTTTTGGTAAAAAGTTGGCTTCCCTGCCATCTAGGTAATGGCTGCTTGTAGGCCAAGATGGCGGGAAATAGGAGGAGAAAAGAAGGGTTTTCAGGAAAGGAGGAAGCTTGAACAGGGGAATCTTAGTGGAGCAGGTCTCGAAGTCAAGTGGGTTACCTCTTGTGTTTGGTCGTTCCTTATTTAAAACAAGTCTTAGATTGAGAGCAGCTTTTATAAACCAAGTATTTGTTTATCCATTGTAGAAATTAGTTACTTCTGGCAAACTATTGCTTAAAGGCTGTGGAATCTTAATCTTTCATTTTTAAATCTACAGATCAAGATCTGGTTAAAATGCTTGTGTACTCTGAACTGTGTATGATAAACTAAGGAAGGTGCAGCAATTGCTGCGTTCATCAAGTACTTTATCTGGAATAAATCAGTAATAATTTTCACAACTGTTTTAATTGATGTATTAAATAACTTTATTCTTAAAATGAAATTTTTACCGCTATGACTTTTTTATGTACTTTGATTTACCATAGGCATGAAGTTTTTTACCAGTAATTTTTAAAGTTATATGATAAGAGAAAAATAATAAAACTAAAATGTAATACTTTTTTCCCCAGAAAATCTGATCTACCTGACTGAGGATTAAAGTTTAAATTGAATTTTGTTTATGTAGTTCATGAAGAATATCACTAGCAAAGTAATGACTAGTTTTGATATGATATCAGCAATAGTGATTGTTGGTTTTCCTGCCTTAGTTTTAAAAATATTTGGATGTTGGGGCTGACAGATGGTGTGGTGGTTAAGGCAGCTAGACTCCCACATGGTTGACCATGGTTTGATTCTCAGACCTGGCACCTTGTTTCCCAACTTTACTGTTCTCTCTCTCTTTGTCTCTTTCTGGTTAATCTAAAAAAAAATAATGACAATGAATAAAATTTTAAAAATTAGATTTTTAAATATTTTCAAAAAAATCTGAATACATTTATAGTTGTCTTTTAAGTATCTTAAGAAAATAATACAGGTTGGGAACCAGCAGTTAGCATATATAATGGCTATGTCTCTGGAGTCCCACGTAGTCGACCGTGGTTCCAGTCCTGGACGCAGTGGCTTAGAACTCACTCCGGGTGCGTGTGCGTGTGTACCCAAGATCCCAAGAGGAGAATGGAGGAGAAGGGATTGTGGCGTGATCATCTCCCCTGGGGGGGTGATTTCTCGCTTTCTGTCCCTATGTCTCTGTCTGTCTGGTGAGGCATGCGCCCTATAGAAGACCTCTCAAAAAAAAAAAACAAAAAGAAAATACAAATTAAAAAGAATCTTAGTGGAGCAGGTCTCGAAGTCAAGTGGGTTACCTCTTGTGTTTGGTCGTTCCTTATTTAAAACAAGTCTTAGATTGAGAGCAGCTTTTATAAACCAAGTATTTGTTTATCCATTGTAGAAATTAGTTACTTCTGGCAAACTATTGCTTAAAGGCTGTGGAATCTTAATCTTTCATTTTTAAATCTACAGATCAAGATCTGGTTAAAATGCTTGTGTACTCTGAACTGTGTATGATAAACTAAGGAAGGTGCAGCAATTGCTGCGTTCATCAAGTACTTTATCTGGAATAAATCAGTAATAATTTTCACAACTGTTTTAATTGATGTATTAAATAACTTTATTCTTAAAATGAAATTTTTACCGCTATGACTTTTTTATGTACTTTGATTTACCATAGGCATGAAGTTTTTTACCAGTAATTTTTAAAGTTATATGATAAGAGAAAAATAATAAAACTAAAATGTAATACTTTTTTCCCCAGAAAATCTGATCTACCTGACTGAGGATTAAAGTTTAAATTGAATTTTGTTTATGTAGTTCATGAAGAATATCACTAGCAAAGTAATGACTAGTTTTGATATGATATCAGCAATAGTGATTGTTGGTTTTCCTGCCTTAGTTTTAAAAATATTTGGATGTTGCAGGCCACAGATGGTGTGGTGGTTAAGGCAGCTAGACTCCCACATGGTTGACCATGGTTTGATTCTCAGACCTGGCACCTTGTTTCCCAACTTTACTGTTCTCTCTCTCTTTGTCTCTTTCTGGTTAATCTAAAAAAAAATAATGACAATGAATAAAATTTTAAAAATTAGATTTTTAAATATTTTCAAAAAAATCTGAATACATTTATAGTTGTCTTTTAAGTATCTTAAGAAAATAATACAGGTTGGGAACCAGCAGTTAGCATATATAATGGCTATGTCTCTGGAGTCCCACGTAGTCGACCGTGGTTCCAGTCCTGGACGCAGTGGCTTAGAACTCACTCCGGGTGCGTGTGCGTGTGTACCCAAGATCCCAAGAGGAGAATGGAGGAGAAGGGATTGTGGCGTGATCATCTCCCCTGGGGGGGTGATTTCTCGCTTTCTGTCCCTATGTCTCTGTCTGTCTGGTGAGGCATGCGCCCTATAGAAGACCTCTCAAAAAAAAAAAACAAAAAGAAAATACAAATTAAAAAGAATGTTTACTTTTGTGTTTGTTGGGAGGGAGAGGTTTTTGCTAAACGGCGCCGGCGCTGTCCAGACAGAGAGGAGGTATTTCGCCATGGCCTGAAACATTTCTTTAAAAAAATTCTAACAGTAGATGACATAAGGTTTTGCCAGTATGATTCTAAAAATAAAGCACAAACAACCGTTCCTTTTCACAACAGTTCTTTTTCAACCCAGCCTGAGTCCTTTTTCATCCTAGGAATTGACGTGTTTCTTTTCAAACAACAGCAATTTGTGGCAGATTCTATGATAAATATGAAGCATCCCACTTAAAATCTTGATTTAAAACATCTTAAACAATCCTTAAATCCTAGTCATTAAAAATATGGACATACTTATTTCTTCTGTTAATAATGTAAAACAGACTGCATTGATGTGATTAAATTCCTAGAACCCTCAGTTCTTTAGGAGTGCACTGGTATCATTTACAGAAGTGTGCTGAACTTGATGAAGTTTATGTTGAGAAATAAACTTCATATTTTTGTTTGAATTCCAATTTTCACGAACTTTTTGAATCCTCTGGTATGTATTTGCATAATGTAAGGAATATATCTGTAACCTTCAAAAATTTCCTCCTGCCTTTTGAAATCCTTTTTATTACTATTCGTCATTTCTTGATAACCATTGGTATACACTGTTTTTTTTTTTTTTTTTTTTTTAAGAGAGCTTTTTGCTATAGGGTGCATGCACTTACCAGAAAGACAGAGACAGAGAGTTAGAAAGCGAGAAATCACCCCCTGAGGGTATTTGGTATAGTCACACTGCAGTCCCTTCTCTTCCATTCTCCTCTTGGGATCTTGGGCATGCACGCACGCACATGCGCCTGGCATGAGTTTAAGCCAGCGGGTTCAGAACTTGAATGGCTGTTGACTACATGGGAGTCCAGCGACATAGCCATGACGCTAACTGCTGGTCCCATACACTGGTTTTTCTTTTGTCACTTTGTCAGTTTACTTTTGCATTTATGCAAAAGTGGATATTTTGTGTGTGTGAGGGTAAATTAAGGGGTTGAATTAACTCCCAGTATTTCTTTTTTAGCTATGATTGTTACGATGTTTCTTCTCCTGATGAATTTGTTGCAATATCTACAATAAAATAGTTTTTTTCTCTTTCTGACAGAAAATTGCCTTTAACCATTTAAATTCAAAAAGTTTTGTACCAACCTATATTATTGCTCTTTCTGTTTTTATTAATTTTACATTTTCTCTGTAAGTTTCATTTATGTTTTCAAATGTAAGTGTTGGCTTACAAATTTCTCAAATTTTAAAACATGTAATAAGTATTTCTTTCTTATTCTCAGCTTTCTTAGACTTTAAGAACATTTATCCTAATAACTAATATTTCTTAGTGTCTTTTTTTTAATTTTAAGAGATTTTTGCTATAGCACACATGTGCTTTCTGGAGAGACAGAGACAGAAAAGTGAGAAATTATGCCTTGGGGGGGGATGGCCATACTGTAATTTCTTGTCTTCCATTCTCTTCTTAGGATTTTGGGCACACAGGCATATGTGCCTTGGGTGAGTTTTAAGCCGCCAGGTCTGGGGCTTTATCCACAGTCAACCATGTGGGAGACCAGTGATATAACCATCATGGTAGCAACTGGTCCCAGTCTCTAATTTTTTTTAACATTTATGAAATAGCATTTACATATGCCCTAACAATAGTTGTAATGAATCTCTTAGAATGGTTATAGTAGTAGACTTAAATTATAAGAATTATTAGATTATCATTTGAAATACAGAGTTGTAAGTTTTGGGGGTTAAAAATAAATTAGTAATGAATATTGATTTTTAGTAATGGAATTTTTAGATTATCATATGATCTTACATTGTAGTTTAACTTACGTTG